TTGACTGTAGGCTTTCTGGATGCAAGGACTGTGTGTCCCCATTGCATAGACATGGGTGGCATGAGGCCTGGTGTAGAACATCCGGTGAATAAATTTATTCATCACTCAACAAATGTTTCTTGAGTGCCCGCTGTGTTCCAGGCACTGTTCTAGGTGCCTGGAACACACGAGTGAAGAGAAGAGGCCAAGGCCTTAGGCAGGGATCCCGGCAGCGTATAGTGTTGGAGGATGGCAGGGCATCCGTTGGAAGATGAACAGGGCAGGGAAGGAGATCAGGTGCGGGGCAGGTGTTGTTGGAGGATGGTTGGGGAGGCCTTATTGGGAATGTGATCGGGAACAGCCTCAAGGAGGTGGGCAGGGACAGTGACATGCACAAGGGAACAGCCAGAACAGCAAAAGGGCCAGGGTGTTTGGAGCGGGTTAGCAAAGGGGAAGCGGTTTGCCACACCTTTTGGGGTCCTTTTCTGGGCCTGACCTTCCTCTGGCAATCTCTACCCCCAGCACATAGGCTCCCAGGCCTGCCACTTGCTCTGGGGGACCCCCTGGACCCCGTCCAGACTGCCTGTGTCCTCACTGCTCTCAGCAACCGAATGTCCTCTGTTTCCTTCCTTAGTGTAGCTGGTCTCAGACTCAGCTGGCGAGGAAAGCAAAGGCTCCTAATAAATGAGATGAATGTCACTCCTAGGAGTTCTTAAAGTGGGTATTTATAGTCTACCCCTCCCTGGATGGGCTTAATATACTGTGACAGGCTGCATTAAGACAACCAGGGACTGCATAGACATGTGTCAGTGTTCTTAGTTGCAGAATATAGAACACTTTCTTGCTAGCTTGGTCAGAAAAGGAATTTATTTTGGGATATTTGATTCCCAGGGAACCTGCAGGAGGACCAGAGAACCTGGCTTGAGGGCTACATGGATGGTCTCTCTGACTGTCAGGGAAGGCCGCCAGCACTCCTGGACGCGGGCAGTGTGTCTTGTCCTGCCAGCGCTCGTCCCCAGACGCTGGCACCTCCTCTCCAGCAGGCCGAGGTGCTGATGCCTCTTTTCTCTGTCCCCTGTGGAGGTGCAGCCCCCGTGGCACCTGCCTCCTCAGCTCTTTATTTACAATTTTAAACCTCATTTGGTTGCCTCCAATGGGTGGAGCCCCGGGCCCATGCCTGCTCCCTAGCTAGAGAGGCAGCTGGGAAGGCGGTGTTTTCTGCCTTCTACCCTGGAAAAGCAAGACTCAGTAGGACTGGAAAATCCCCCCAGTTAGAAAGGGTATTCAAAGGTGTTGGGCAGCAAGAAAAGATGACAGGTGCCCACCCCTGTGAACTCCCTGGGGGCTGTGACGTGGGGTGAGCCGAGGGTCACAGGCTCCATCAGTCCGCGCTCTTGGGCGCGGCCAACAGAAACTTAAGCAGAAGGAATCGATTGCAGGGATGTCGGGGGCTCCCAGCATCTCTGAGGGCTGGGTGGGAGAGGGAGGATGCAGGCTTTTGGCTGCCATGGGAGAGGTGGGGCCGACCCCCGTCAGGACCACACTCCAGGAGGGGCCTCCGGAAAGGGGAGCTAGTGCGCCAGGAGGAAAGGGACCGGAAGCTGGGCAGTCACAGAAGGGCGATGTCCACCACCATAGCACCAGGAGGCCAGTCCTCGTGAGGGTTCCCTCGCCAGCCCCCTCCAATGTCCTCGCTTTCGGTTTAGTCCACTACAGTCCAGTTCAGTGAGGCTTTGGGCTGGTTTCCGTGGAGTGTTGCGCAGAGGGAGTCTGCTGGGGCAGGCTGAGGGCGCGGGGAGGCCAGAGGGGGAGAGCTTAGCTGGGCCGGGCGAGAGACCAGGAGGGTCTTCACGGAGCAGACAGATCAAGCCAAGCTCGGCAGGTGAGGAGGGTTTAATAGGTGGGGAAGGTAGATAAAGGCATTCCTGGCTGAGAGAACAGCACAGGAGCAAAGGTGGTTTGAGACTGTGGTGGTCCACCTCGGCTATGCCCTGCTAAACTTATCCATTCGCGTTTCTTCTAGAAAATGGCACTGGGATTTCCCTTGAGGAATCAATCTCCCCCTCCCGTGACCCCGTGATTCAGGAAGGATTGATCCCTCCCCTGGCCCCACGGTGCCGGTGTGGCCCGGGCAGTTGGAACGTGGAATCCCTGATCTCAGCATCTGATTCAGGGCCGGTGTGGGATCCCAGCCAGGCTGATGGCACCACATTCTGGGACGTGCATGGGAGCCACGCGGGAAGCAGGATTTCCCTCTCTGCCAGCGTTGCTTGGGAGCATGAGAGCTGTTGCTGCACCTCTCGCTGCTCCACCTTTCCAGGTGCTCAGATCCAAGGCTCTTCAAGTTACCTTGCATTCTTTATCTCACGCCAACATCCAATCCATTAGAAAATCCTGCAAGATAGATCCAGAATCCAGCCACTCCTCACCCCTGCAATCCTGCAAGATAGATCCAGAATCCAGCCACTCCTCACCCCTGCACTGCCCCCTTTCTCCTACAAATCCTGCTGAGTCTTCTTGCCACTTTCCTGCCTCCACCTTCCCACCTCTCACAGTCCATCCTCAGCACATTAGTCAGAATGACCTTTCATAAACCCAAGTCAGATTATGCTGTATCTTTGTTCAGACCCAATAATGGCTTCATATGTCACTTGTAGTGAAAACCCAAATTCTTGCGATGGCCTCTGTGGTAGGCAACTTCTGGCCCCATGGCTGCCGCCCCCTGGTAGGCACAGCCTGAGTAATCCCCTCGCCCTGGGTGTCGGCTGCGCCTAGTGACTTACTTCTAACCAGTAGAACGAGGCAAAAGCAATGGGACGGCCCTTCTGAGAGTAGGTTATAAAAGACTGTGACTGCTGTCTTGGAGGCTCGGTCTTTCTCCTTCCCCTACTTCTTGGCTTGCTTACTTCGCTGCCTTAGGCTGCCATGCTAGAGAGGCCCTGTTGGCAAGGAACTGTGAGTGGCCTCTGGCCAATGGTCAGCGAGGAACTGATACCCTTGGTCCTGCATCTGGGGAGGAACTGAACCTGCCCACAGTCCCAGGAGTGAGCTTGGAAGTGGCTCCTTCCTTTTCCGGTTGAGCCTTGAGGTGTCTGCAGCCCTGGCCAGCACCTTGCAGCCCATGAGAGACCCTAAAACAGAGGACCCAACTAAGCTGTGCCCCGATTCCTGACCCATAGAAGCCATGGGATGAAATGCTGTGTGGTTTGGAGCTGCTATGTCTTCGAGCAATTTGTTAGACTGTTAGATATAGCTAAACCAGCTTCCAAAGACCTACTCAATCTCCGTCCTTATTCTTATACTCCTCTCAGTAGCTTTCTGACCTCACCTTACCTTCTCTCCCCTCACTCACTGTGTTCTAGCCAGGCTGGCCCTCTTGCTGCTTGAACACACTCACACCCTCCACATTCAAGCTTTTGTGTCTGTTGCTTTCTGCCTAGCACATGCTCCCCTAGTTATCTGCAGGGCTAATTGCCCCCTTCCTCAGCTTTTTTTTTTTTTTTTTTTTTTTGAGACAGGGTCTTGTTCTATCATCCAGGCTGGAGTACAATGGTGTCATCATAGTTCACTGCAACCTCAAACTCCTGGGCTCAAACAATCCTCCTGCCCCAGCCTCCCAAGTAGCTGAGACTACAGGTGCACACTGCCACACCCAGCTAATTTTCCTAATTTTAGTAGAGACAGGGTCTCACTCTTGCTCAGGCTGGTCTTGAACTCCTGGCCTCAAGTGATCCTCCCACCTCGGCCTCCGAGCGTGCTAGGATTACAGGTGTGAGCCACTGTGCCTGGCCCCCCTCCTCTTTTATTCCCTTCTCCATGAGACCAACGTTGACCATTCTATTTGAAAGTACACTGCTGCCACCACAGGCACTTTTGAGCCTCTTTACCTGGCTCTACTTTATTTTTTCATAGGACTTATTGCCTTCTAACTGTGCAATATGCTTATGTCTCATTATTATTATTATTTATTTTTAAAAATTATTAGGGGGGTACAAATGTTTTTGGTTACATGGATTGTTTTGTGCTAATCCTTGAGTCAGGGTTATAAGTGTGCCCATCCCCCACAGTGTTCATTGTACCCGTCATGATCATTACTGTTGATCTGGTTCATTGTGTATCTCCCGCTGCTAGAACGTAAGATGTGTAGATACAGGGAGCTTGTCCGTTTTGCTCACTAATGTCTCCTAAGGGCCTAACATGGCACCTGACACATAGTAGTTGCTCAAGAAATACTTGGCGAATGAATGCATGAGGAATACGCCTGCAAATGAAGCTGATTCTGAAGAAAGCAGAGCTGGTGGATGCCCAGAGCCAGACCAGCCCCTGGGGGTGCCATTTATGTTTTGGAGCCAACTGCGTCAGACAGTCTGGTCCCACGAAGTCAATGCACTTCCTTTCATGCCTGAGTCACTCTGATTAAGGTTCATTGTCACTTGCACCTGGAGAGTCCTGAGTAATGTGTGGGGTTACTGAGAAACATGCCATGACTGTGACTCTGAGGAAACGCAGGGAGCGGGGGAAGGGGTGGGGACAGCGCTTGTGGAGCCTCCACTGTGTGCCAAGTAGGGCCCGCTTTGCCATGCACATTATCGCTTGGAGTTCTCAGGACAAGCTTGTGAATTAGATATCATCACTCCCATTTCACAGATGAAGAAACTGAGGCTCAGTGAGGTTAGGTGACTTGCCTAAGATCATATAGCTAGTGAGTGGCAGAGAGAGAAATCCAGGTCTTTCTGACTTAAAATCCCATGCTTTTCTGTGGCTTATTTTTTTCTATTTTTGTGCCCATGGATTGGCCAGAATCTCCAAATATTTTCCCTGCTGCTGGAGTCCTGGCAAAGGCCACAAGTGGGGTGGCTGCCAGCGGCTGGGGCCGAGGAGGGAGGAGAGGGAGGGTGTGCTTGTGTGGGCTCTTTGTATTCAGGTATTTATAAATCTGGGCCTTCTCCCGTGTTACAAATATCGGAGATATTTCTTCTGGCTCTGAGACCCAGGGAAGGTATTCTTGTCTCCGTTCACAGGAACACATTTGGGAGAGGCAGTTCTTGGAGGTTGGGTGAGGCCAGGCTGGCCTGGAGGGGTGAACTGAGGCTGCCCGGCGGAAGGTGTCCTGGGCTTTTTGGATGCCACACGAGCGCCCTGCCTGCAGCGCCTCCTGAGAGAAACCGAGCTGCGCACAGGCCCCTGCCACCTGTGTCTTGCTCATCTTGGCCTCAGCATATTGGCCCAGCGTCAGCACCCGGCCAAGGTGGGCAAGCTGGGCAGGGCTCCCGAGGGGCTGTGGCGTCACAGCGCTGTCATGAGCTGGGCCCTGCGGAGGGGCTGGGGCAGCAAGATGCACACACAGAGAAAGCAGAGGAAGAGGCCGCCCTGGGGAGACGGCCGGCTGGCGCAGTCTCCTTCCTGAATTAAGAGGCCCACGGGGTGGCTGCTCCTGGGGTCCCTTTGTGCGGTCAGTTCCTTTAGAAGTCCCCACATTTGCAGACCAGTGTGAGAGTGACCGCGGCAACCGAAAGGGAGGACAGTCCAGACTGTGGTCGCACCCGTCTCATTCACAGGGTCGTGGCTTGGGGACCTGTGGCCTCCCCTCTTGGTTCCGGGGCCACTGGGCCAGGCCTGAGGTGGGGCGAGGGTCTGGGCTAGAAGCCCAGGAGGAGGGAAGGGCTGGGCCAGAGGGGCCACGGAGGGCCCGTGGTTTCAGTCAAGACGTCGCAACACATGTCAGGCCTGGGTGTGCTTTAAGCAGTTTGCTACTCACAGAAGTCAGAGCCCTGGTGTGGTTTTTGTTGTTGAGACAGAGTCTCACTCTGTTCCCCGGGCTAGAGCGCCGTGGCGTTAGCCCAGCTTACATCAACCTCCAACTCCTGGGCTCAAGCGATCCTCCTGCCTCAGCGCCAGGCATGCGCCACCATGCCCGGCTAATTTTTTCTATATATTTTTTAGTTGTCCAGTTAATTTCTTTCTATTTTTAGTAGAGACGGGGTTTCACTCTTGCTCAGGCTGGTTTCTAACTCCTGAGCTCAAGCGATCCTCCTGCCTCGGCCTCCAGAGTGCCAGGATTACAGGCGTGAGCCACCGCGCCCGGCCTCTGGTGTGTATTTTAAGCACACCTTTACTTCTGGAACCATGTCAAATTTCAAACGGCCCAGAAGGGCACACACTGAAAAGTCTTCCTCCTTCCTGTCGGGCAGCTGCCCTCCCCAGAGGCCTGCTGTTACCCGGTGTTTGGGCATTCTTCCAGAAATGTTTTATGAATATATGAGCAAACATCCTCTCGTACACACTCTTTACCTGTTTCTTTCTCCCATTAAAAAACGATCACAGATGTTGGCAAACTACTTTCACTGCCCCCCCCCCCCCCCCCCCCGTGAGCGCAGATTGGAGACCATCCCTGCCCCTGCGACAAGGTCGGCTCGCTCACTTGCCTTCCAGAGCTCCTTTCTGGAGGGCGAGACCCTGAGGGAGGGTGTGTGCGTGAGCGAGGGCATGCACGTGCACACGCATGGGCTCCCAGGAAGACCCGCAGGGAGCCCACCTGGGTCTAGGTGTGGGTCCCACTGACGAGCCCTGGGCCTTAACCTCCTCCGATTCAGTGTCCTCCCCACAAAGAGGAATGACGAGCATATTCCCTGGGTTGCTGAGCATGGGACAAGGACACTGAGCAATTGTCCTGCAAATTGTTAAGTCCAGGCGGCGAAAGCTCATTACCAGTCTGGCTCTGCTGGGTGTGGGGGCGTTCTCATCCGTCCCCCCTCGAGGACGGGTCTGACCTCCTTGCTCACCCCCCCATCCTCACCTGATGGCTCTTCTCTCCCTCCCGCGTCAGTGGAGGTGCTGCCCCGACTTCCCGCCGCATCCGCCTGCCTGTTTCCCGTCTGCGCCACCTCACCTCCTTCTGCCGCCTTCTCCTGGGAGCCCGAAACCGACTCCCGCCTCCTCGGGGACCCAGCTCTGTGCAGGCACCCTCCACCCACTCCCGCACAGCTTCAGCCTCTCTCTCTTTACTGGCTCCTTCCAGTCAGCATCTAGACATGCTCGGATTTTTCCTGTATTAAAGAGTAAACCAACTGGGTGAGGTGGCTCACACCTATATTCCCAGCACTTTGGGAGGCCAAGGCAGGAAGATGGATCACTTGGGGCCTGGAGTTCGAGACCAGCATGAGCAGCATAGCAAGACCCCATCTCTACAAAAAATAGAAAAATTAGATGAGCATGGTGGCGCGAGGCTGTAGTTCCAGTTACTTGGGAGGCTGAGGCAGGAGGATTGCTCGAGTCTAAGAGTTCAGGGTTATAGTGAGCTGTGACGGTGCCACTGCAGTCTGGCCTGGGCAACAGAGCAAGACTTTAATCTCTAAAAAAAAAGAGCGAACCCTCCTTTGAGCTCACATCACCTTCAGCTACTATTTTCTCTTCCACTGCAGAGTCAAACTTCTAGAAAGACGTGCTTAGCTCAGTCCCTCCTCCTCATCCTGCTCCGTTCACTCGGCAGCCCGTCGGATGTTTTAACTGGACATCTAAGGCACTGTGTGTGTCAGGTGCTCTTCTAAGCACTTGCACGTATTAACTTGTTTAATCCTCACGACTACAACCGGAAGAGGCAGGAACGGTTACCAGCCATTTTACAGGTGAGGAGGCAGGCCAGAGAGTTAAGCGCACCTGCACTGAGCACAGCCACGCGAGGGCAGTAAGTGGTAGTGCTGGCTACAAAACCAGCCACCTGCCCTTCCTTCCTTAGGTGACCCCTTTGTGATTCCTTGGGTCTCAGCTTAAATGTCACTTTCTCGGGAAGTGTTTCCCAGGGCCCCTCCTACGCTCCTGTGTGCCCTCGGGCCCTTCCGGGCGTGGCTTCTTGTTCCGTGCTGTAATTGCCTATTTACTTGCCTGTGCTCACCCTCCCTCTTGGTTTGTTTCCCTTCAGATCCGACCTGCCACGCAGCGAGCCGCGCACACAGAAAGCGCACCATAAATGTGAGCTGAGTGACTTTTTCATGATGCAGAGCTGTCTGGAACTGTAGGAGGGAATGGATTCCAGGTGGTGGCTTGGTTTAAGACCAGTCAAAGGGAGAAATGTGAAAATATTAAATAGAAACAGGGGAGCAGGCGTGGCCACGCTGGTGTGTGTCTGTGTCCGGCATCTCTCACCTCCCCGTCAAGGGGCGGGGAACAGAGCATGGACTTTGGAGTGTGGCAGACCTGGTTCAAATCCTGGCTCCACTACTTGCTGCAGTGTGACCTTGAGAAAGTTCCAGAACTTGTTTGTTTCACATTGATCTAAGTTACCTGAAACAACTTGGCACGATGCCAGTGGCTCAGGGCTCTGCTCCCGTGGCCACCTGTCCTGGTGCAAAGGCCTCTCCGCTCTGCACGTCTGTTCCCATCTGCAAAATGAAAGCCTCAGCCAGGGCATTTCCAAGGACACCTGCTTTTTAAGCCACTTTAGCTCAATGACATTTCTCAGATTTTATGCTCTTGTTAGATTAGGTTTGGCCTAAAGCTGCTTCCTTACACATTTTTGGTTTGGCCTAAAGGTTTCTCTGTACACAGTGAACTCCACCCTAACTACAGTGTAAACAGACTGGAGTCTATTCTTGCACCAATTAGCCAATCAAAGGTGGCTAACTGTTCAAACCTGTCCAAATAAGGCAAATGCCAGGTTGTGCCCAATCTGGCTGTTTCTGTACCTCACTTACATTCCCTGCACATCACCTTCCTTTTTTCTGTCTATAAGGCCTCTCTGACCACGGGACAGTGCTGGGGCCTCTTTGAACCTGTTCTGGTTTAGGGGGCTGTCCAATTCATGAATCTTTCTTTGCTCAATTACACTCTTTTAAATTTAATTTGTCTGAAGTTTTTCTTTTAACGCTCTGGAGCGTCTGGACACAGCAGGAAACATCTCTGCGGGAGGATGCAGAGGGCCACGCTGCACCTAGCGGTCCGCGCCTCAGGAAAGCAGGCCCTAGCAGCAGGGGAGCAGCCTGAGAAGCTGTTTGTGGAGATGGAACAGCCCACCACGGAGTCTGCCACTGTTCCCCCAAAGCTGCTTAGGAACCAGACCGACTGTCACCTCCCATTCGCAGGGAGGCAGGAAGAGCCTAGAAGACCTCACAGGTGTTTTCTGAGAAGGTCCTTTCTGCTTCGCAGCATCCCTGGGGGCAGTGACCTTGACCAACCATGAGCTGGACAGAGCTAGGGTTCTCCAGAGAAAGAGAACCAGTAGGATGCGCGCGTGTGTGTGTGTGTGTGCGTATATACATATATACATATGTATGTGTATGTACAGAGACTTATCTCAAGGCCTGAGCGCATGTGATTATGGAGTCTTGGTGAGTCCCAGATCCACAGACTGGGCTTTCAGGCTGAGACCTGGGGCAGAGCCCCCACTGCAGCCTATTGCAGAATTCCTCTTGCTCTGGCGAGGTCAGTCTTTTGTTCTATTCAGGCCTTCAGCTGATTGGATGAGACCCACTCATAGTATGGAAGCAATCTCTTTAACTCAAAGTCCATCATTTGAATGTTAATCTTATCCAAAGACACCCTCACAGAAACATCCAGAACAATGTTTGACCAAATGTCTGGGCAACGGGGCTCAGCCAAGTTGACACGTAACAGCAACCATCATGTGGGCTTTCTGTTTATTCCCTACCACATAGGAGGTAGGTGCTGGGGTCCCCGTATGTGAAGGGGAAACCGAGGCTCAGAGAAAGAAAGAGTTTAGCTCGAGGCCACAGGCTGCGGTGGCATGCAGTCACAGGAGGATGTGAGAGTGCTCTCTGGGTGTCACACTTGAAAACCAATGCCTGGTGGCCAGAGCAGAGATGGGTGATGTCACCGACCAGAACCCGGTGGAAGGGGCGGCGCACTGCACACAGAAACGAGAGCGGTCGACAGCTGGGCCCGCCACCGCTCGAGATCCAACCAGACTGGCTCGAATCTCCATGCCCCGAGTCCCCCTTCGTCGCAAGTGCAACGTCTTCCCCAGGGCGCTGGAGGTTGCCCGGTGCTGCCCGTGGCCAGCCTGGCCCTGCGATCCCCCCTGCCCCGCAGCCATCTCGCCAGCGCTGCCTTCGCCCTTCCTGTTTGTCATCCAGCACCTTCTTCCTTTATTCCAACATCCACCTGCTCTTGCCCCACCCGAGGCATCTGTGTTCGTGGTGGGCTTTGCTGACGCTCCGGCGAGATGGGGGGATTGACAAGGACACCTCCAAACTGGGCGTTGACAGCCGCTCTTACAAACAGACCTCTCGGCCACTCTGCAGCTCCGCTCCCTCCCAGTGCTCTGGTGTTCCACCCCTTCCTCCTTCTTCCTTTTCCTGCTCTCTCAGCAGAGATGAAAGGCGTACTCCTCCCATTCTCTTTTGCAGTGAAGTTCCACCGCCTTTCACCTGGGGTCTTCATCTTGGCTGCAGGTCTCCCGGGAATCCTGGAGTGGGTGGACGTTTCGTGAGAGTTCCTCCCACGCCTCCTCCTGCCCAGCCGGCCTTTCGAGGGTGGAGTCTGGTTCCTTCTCCCACAGAAGCAGGAATGAGGCAGTGTCCGCCTGAGATCGATTCAGGCACTGCCCCTCCCAGCACCGGCCAGGTGAGGCCCCTCCACCTGTCTGGCCTGCAGCAGGTGACTCTGTTGTGAGGACAGATCCCCAGCTGCGGACTCCAGGCTCTGATCCCAAACAGCATTGCGACTCATCCTCCTCTGTGTCCGTCCACAGGGAGGGGCACCCCAGCTGGGGCTGGGAGGGTCTGGTCTGGAAGTTGCACCGGGCTTGGCTCAGGTGAGCTCTGACACCCACTTGGGACACTCTGGGCTCTTGGACACTCTGGGCCACGTGCTAGGCGGTGCCACCATGAGACTGGGGTCCTGGGCCCCACTCCCCCACTCCCCACTCCAGTGAGCTCTCCAACCCTCTGTCCTGTATGTGGACTTGACCTGCAGAGCCCCAAGACTCAGGTCCAGGGTTCTGTTCCAGAAAAGCAGCCTGCAGAGCCGCTCGCTGCACTGGCTGGTGTGGGACCACATGACACAGGGGTTGCTGGGAGGTGCTGACGTGCCTGTTTGTGTGACTTGAATTGTTTATATAGACAGGGCCTGGAAAACAACAGATATTCCTCTCTCACGGTCCTGCAGACGGGAACACTGGGGTCAGGACGCCAGCGCGCTTGGGTTCTGGCCAGGGCTCTCTCCCCGATTGTGACTGCACACTCTCGTGTGTCCCTGTGTAGCAGAAAAAGGGTGGGAGAGCTCCCTGGGCCCCTTGTATGAGGGCACTAATCCCACTCAGGAGGGCTCCACCTTCGTGACCTAGGTACTCCCCAAAGGCCCCGCCTCCTAACACCGTCACATTGGCTGTCAGGATTGCAACGCATGAGTTTTGGGGAGAGGGACACAAACGTTCAGGCCACTGCAATTACCAAGCCTGATAGGACCGTGTGTTGGAAGAGGCTTTGTTCAGATGCACCAACAGGCTCTCTCGAATATGGCTAGTAGACGTGTGAATAGGTATCAATACGGCTATTTTGGAAAGGAACTTGGCATTTTATTTTAAGACGATAAAAGACAATGTCATACAACCCAGTGAGTCTTCTCCTAGGCATCTCCCTAACAGGAACGCCCGCACGTGGCCACCAGGAGACGAGTACGATGATGTTTCTAACAGCGCGGTTTGCTGTCCCGAAGAGCTGGCGCAGCACGAGAGCCCATGGACAGGAGCGTGGATAAATCCATTATTTTCCTCACATGATAAAATATCACACAGCATCGAACAGAAATGAATCTCACGCCGGGCGCGGTGGCTCACGCCTGTAATCCTAGCACTCTGGGAGGCCGAGGCGGGTGGATTGCTTGAGGTCAGGGGTTTGAAACCGGCCTAAGCAAGAGTGAGACCCCGTCTCTACTATAAATAGAAAGAAATTAATTGGCTAACTAATATATATATATAAAATTAGCCGGGCATGGTGGCGCATGCTTGTAGTCCCAGCTACTGGGGAGGCTGAGGCAGCAGGATTGCTTGAGCCCAGGAGATTGAGGTTGCTGTGAGCTAGGCTGATGCCACGGCACTCACTCTAGCCTGGACAACAAAGGGAGACTCTGTCTCAAAAAAAAAAAAAAAAAAAAAGAAAGAAAGAAATGAATCTCACCGTCACGCTTCTAAAAACAGAAGCCAGATCGTGTACTCCTGGGCTCAAACTCCCCAGGGTGCTTCGTTACAGTAGCTGAACCAGTAAGAGAATCCAGTAGGATGGTGTCAAATGGTGTCTCCTGGTGGCCCTGATTTGCATGTCCCTGCTAACTAATAAGACCGAGCATCTCCAGCCTCAGGTAACTTGATGCCACCCGCAGCATTGAGCATGGGTCCTCACCCAGCTTTGAGAAACTTTCTTTACTTGCATCCCTGGATCCTACCCTCTTAATTCTCCCCTCTGCCCACTGCTACTCCTTGTTGGTCTCCTTTGTCATTTTCCTCATCACTTGGCCTCTCCTCGTTCCTGTTTCACTTGTTCTCTCTCGTCTAGTGTTGTGGCTTTAATATCAGTGCGTGCTAGTACCTCCCACTGTCTCTATTCCTCCTTCATAGACCCCTCCTTAACTCTATATATTGATCCCTGATTCCACATCTCCCTACTTGGATACCTAACTTGATAGCTCTAGAGTTCAACTCCCGATTCCCTTATCCCCAAACCTCCTCTATACTTTCTGCTGCTCAGGCTAAAAACGAAGTCATTCTTGAATCTATCCCATCAACAAGTCCTACTTGCTTTACCTTCAGAATTATATCCAGAGGCCAGATGTGGTGACTTCTACCTGTAGTCCCAGCTACTTGGGAGGCCAAGGTGGGAGGATGACTTGAGCCCAGGAGTTGGAGGCTGTAGTGAGCTATGATTGTGCCACTGCACTCCAGGCTGAGTGAGAGAGTGAGACCTCATCTCTGAATAACAAAACAAAACCATGCCAAAATTATATGCAGAATCATACCATTTCTCACTGCCTCTTCCCCTGCTCTCTTGGTCTAAGCCACTATCATTATCATCTCTCACTTAGATTATTCCAGTAGTATCTTAACCCGTGTCCCCCTCTGAGACCCGACAATGCACTCTCCAGACATACAGAGCCTCCTAAGACAGAAACCAGGTCAGGACACTCCCTCTGCTCAGCCCTGCCATGATTGCCCATCTCGGTCAGAGCACAGCTCAAGGCACCGGGAATGGCCTGCAAGGCCACTGGGCCTTTCGCCTCCTTTCTCAATCCTCTTCCACTGTTCTCCCTCTCACGCACTCCTCTCCAGCCTCACGGCCTGCGGCTCTTCCTGGGACCTGGAGGCACCCTCCTGCCTCAGGCCTTTGCCCCGGCTGTTACAGGCACACCTCATTTTATTTATTTATTTATTTTTTTTTTTGAGACAGAGTCTTGCTTTGTTGCCCAGGCTAGAGTGAGTGCCATGGCATCAGCCTAGCTCACAGCAACCTCAAACTCCTGGGCTCGAGTGATCCTTCTGCCTCAGCCTCCCAAGTAGCTGGGACTACAGGCATGTGCCACCATGCCCGGCTAATTTTTTATATATATATCAGTTGGCCAATTAATTTCTTTCTATTTATAGTAGAGACGGGGTCTCGCTCTTGCTCAGGCTGGTTTTGAACTCCTGACCTTGAGCAATCCGCCCGCCTCGGCCTCCCAAGAGCTAGGATTACAGGCGTGAGCCACAGCGCCCGGCCCACACCTCATTTTAATTGCACGTCACTTTATCGCACTAACAGTTAGCCAAGTTATAAATGCAAAGGGAAAGCTCTTGAAGGAAATTAAAAGTGCTACTCCAGTGAACACATGTAACATAGTTCTGCTGTGGAGAAAGTTTTAGTGGACTGGACAAAACATCACACCAACCACGACATTCCCTTAAGCCAAAGCCTAATCCAGAGCAAGGCACTAACTCTCTTCAATTCTAGGCTGAAAGAGGCGAGGAAGCTGCAGAAGCTGGCCGAGGCTGGTTCATGAGGTTGAAGGAAGGAAGCCGTCTCCGTAACACAAAAGTGCAAGGTGAAGCCGCAAGTGCCGGTGGAGAAGCTGCAGCAGGTTATCTGGGAAATCTAGCCAAGATCGGTACTGAAGGCAGCTGCACTAAGCAACAAGTTTTCTGTGTGATTGAATAGTCTTCTATTGGAAAAAGATGCCATATAGGACTTTTATAGCTAGGAAGCTTCAAAGGCTGTCTCTCTGGCTAGGGACTAATGTAGCTGGTGACTTTCAGTTGAAGCCAGTGCTCATTTACCATTCCTAAAATTCTAGGGCTCTCAAGAATTATGCTAAATCTACCCTGCCTGTGATCTATAAATACAACAACAAAGCCTGAGTGATAGCACATCTGTTTATAGTATGGTTTACTGAATATTTTAAGCTTACTTTTGAGACCTCCTGCTCAGAAAAAAATATTATTATTTTTTTAGAGATAGGGCCTCACTCTGTCATCCAGGCTGGAGTTCAGTGGCATAATCATAGCTCACTGCAGCCTCAAACTCCTGGGTGAGTAGCTGGGACTAAAGGTGCATGCCACCACACCTGGATATATTTTGTTTTTCCAAGCCAAACTGTATCCAGCTTTATTAAAGACACTTTTCATAAACAATCATGTATTTCAGGCAGGACATGGGCAGACAATCGTTAACAGTATACAACAACTTTCAAACTCCCTTCTTCAATGGTCTACCAAAATCAGAAAGCCACTATAAAACCCAATGAAGTCTTCATTTGATGCTCTGAACAGAGAAAGTTTAGAGTGAGGGTTGACATTTCACATTTGGCATGTTGTTTAGCAACTTTTCACAAGCCAACTGTGACTTTCAGGAAATGAACTGAAAATGGCAGAATTTGTCTGAAGATCCACAGTCTACAAATGGAACTGGGGCTCTTTTGAGGGATGCCATCTCAGTGGTGCCACTGGAAAGCCCAGATCACCCGACATACTGGTAAGCAATTACTGGAGGGCAGGCCCCCAAGAGGTGTCTGGGTTTAAGGAAGTGAAGACTATGCTGAAGGCAGAGAGGGAGAATAGGACATAAAAACAAATTAGTTTTTCCATACAACAAGGCATTTGTGCCAAGGTAGCTACATGTCAATGTCAGGGAATCCCTCCTCCTGAGAGCCAAGAGGAAGTCTCTCAAAACTAGAAGGGGAAGGTGTTTTCCCCATATCGATCTAGCTTTGGAGACATTCTATTAGTGACATATGCCCCTTCCCCCCAAAAACAACAATGAAGTGTTCTGTATGCTAACAACATAGCTTAAAAAAAAAAAGTAAAACAAAATTCTGCATTTTTATAAAACTTGATAAAAAACAGTATTTCAAACTGTGCAGTCACCAGAAGTACACAGTTATCAAAAATGCACACACTTCCCTTGGCATCTCCAGCACCTTCGGCTTTCTGTGCCTGGTCTGTTTTGGCATCTCCGTTTTCTGCAGGGTTATCCCCCTCCTTGCCAGCGTCAGCTTTTCCCTTTTTCCCTTTGGGTCCCTTCTCTCCCTTCTTTGCAGGGGCCTTTTTAGGTTGGGCTCTGGCTTTGGAGGAGCAGGTTTAGCAGACAACCTTGCGGATCTTCTCTGCGGTTCGTCCTTTGCCTTGGCTTTATCTCCTTTAGCATGATCCCCTTCAGCCTTTCTCCTGGGCATGGTGGCGACGGCGGCATGGGCGTGGGCACTGGGCGCAGGGATGCAGTGGCGCGTGGGCTTTGGTCGGTCTGGGGGTCGTTCTCACCTCCTCTTCTTCACACTGCTCCCTGGATAATTTTTTAGAAATGGGATCTCACTATGTTGCCCAGGCTGGTCTCAGATTCCCACCTCAACCTCCTGAGTTACTGGGATTATAGGTGTGAGCCACTGCATCTGGTTCAAAGATTCCTTTTTATGTATTACTGCTCATTGACAACGTACCTCATCACCCAAGAGCTCTGATGGAGATGCACAAAGAGATGAATGTTGTTTTCATGCCTGCTAACACAAGATGCATTCTGTTGCCCAAGGATCAGGGGGTAATTTTGACTTTCAAGCCTTATTGTTTAAGAAATACGTTTCGTAAAGCTATAGCTAACATAGATAGTGATTCTTCTGATGTATCTGAGCAAAGTAAATTGAAAACCTTCTGGAAAGGATTCACCATTCTAGGTGCCTTTAAGAACATTTGTGACTCATGGGAGGAGGTCAAAATACCAACATTAGCAGGGGGTTGGAAGAAGTTGATTCCAATCCTCAGGTACGACTTTGAGGAGTTCAAGAATCCAGCGGAGGAAGGAGCCGCAGATGTGGTGGAAATAGCAAGGGAACTAGAATTAGAGGTGCAGCCGGAAGGTGTGACTGAATTGCTACAATCTCATGATAACACTTTAATGTAACAGATGAGGAGTTACTGCTTGTGGGTGAGCAAAGTAAGTGGTTTCTTGAGAAGGAATCTACTCCCGGTGACGATGCGGTGAACACTGTTGAAATGACAACAGAGGATGTAGAATACTGCATCAACCTAGTTGGTGAAGCAGTGGCAGGGCTTGACAGGACCGACTCCCACTTTGAAAGAAGTTCTACTGTGGGTAAAATGCTATTAAACACCACGAACGTTACAGAGAACTCTGGTGCGAAAGGAAGAGCCGCTGTGGCAAGCTTCGTTGCCGTCTTGCTTAAGAAATCGCCACAGCCACCCAACCTTCGGCAACCACCACCCAGGTGGGTCAGCAGCCGTCAGTACTGACGCAAGACCCTCCATCAGGAGACATATTATGACCCACAGAAGGCTCAGATGATTGTTAGCACTTTTTAGTAATAAAGTGTTTTTAAATTAAAACACTTTATTATAAACAGCAATATACATTGCTGTTTTTAAGACGTAGTGCTATTGCACATTGAATAGAATGCAGTGTGTTGCAAATGTAAGATTTGTATGCACCAGGAAACCAAGAATTTGTGTAACTCATTTTGTTGCAACACTGGCTTTCTTGTGGTGATCTGGAACTGAACCTGCAATATCTCCGGGGTATCCGTGCATACTGAGACAGCTTACATGCTCTTGTTTTTTTATTGTCTTTTGCCCCAATGAAAAGACCTCCACAGGTTTCCTTTATTTTGTTCACTTCTGTGTTCCCAGCACCTGAACAATGCTTGGTAAAGAGTGGGCCCTCAGTAACTATTGAATGAATCAATTAATGGAGTATTAATCACTATGAGCTATTTAATCTAAGCCAGATAAAGAGGAAGTGACGTCGCGAGGATGTGAGAGACAAGGAGAAAGTGGTGAGTTCTAGGGACCGCGAGGTCTGGCCAGGGTGGAGAATGGCTGTATTTGGAGTAGGAGAAGGAGTGAGTCTGAAGGACAGGAAGGGTTAGAGAGTGTGCTACTTGGATTGAGCTAATGAAGGGTCTCTTCATCTTCTACCTTATTGGCTACTTTGTCTCAGTCTCTATTGCTGGTTTCTCCCCAACATTTAAAAAGCAAATTAAACTTTTTGTTGTTGTTTAGAGATGGGGGTCTCAGTATGTTTCCCAGGCAGGCCTTGAACTCCTGGGCTCGGCAATCCTCCCACCTCAGCTTCCTGAGTAGCTGGAACTATCGGTGAGCGCCACCACGCCTAGCTCTTCTCAACATTTTAATCTCTAAAACTGCAGTGAAGTAATGAAGAAGTCTAGGACAGTGTTTTTCAAATTGAGAGACATAGCCCATTAGTGGATCATAAAATTAAGTTAGTGGGTTGCAGCCAGCATCTGTAGAAATGAAATAGAATAGAAAATGGCAGAGCGTGTAACAAGGATGTCATCTCATAAAGCTTTCATTTCACTTATGTCTATGTAGACATGGGTATTTATGTATGGAGAGTGTGTGTCTGAACACACGTATGGTTGGGTCATGAACAAACAAGTTTGAAAGCCACTGGCCATAAGAGTGAGTAAGGAGATCAAAAAACAGGGCAGGTCATGGGAGAGATTTTATTGTAAGTCCTGAGGTCACCAAGACTTTATTCATCGGGGTAGTGCTGGAGAGAAAGATAGATTTTTGACTAGGGTCAAAAGTCTTCAAGTAATGTCCCAGGAGTTTGTGGATGATTGCAACAAAGTGGTCCTTACTCCTGGCTCCGGGACTTTGAATTCTCACCCTTTCCTGCTCTTCCTGGGATCTGAGCCACCTGCCAGCCCCTTCCTCCCCAGCGCATCCTCACCTGCCTTAGGAGCCCTGGCAACCCACCTCCACCCGCCCGGGTCCAGCTGCCTCAGGCGTACCTCCTGCTGCCTGCAAGAGGTGGTGGATATCAGTGACAACAGCAACCCAAGGACAAGGCCAGCTGTCACTTACTGAATCCCTCTGTATGCTCTGTTAGGTTGTTACCTGCAACGTAGAAATTACCCCTCTTTTAGAGAGGAAAGCCAGGAGTCCAGAGGTTAAGTGACTTGCCCAAGGTCAGTCACTCAGTGAGCCGCAGAGCCAGGATTTGAACTCAAGTCTATCTCACTTTCCAGTGAGGCACCCCACAGCCTCTCTCACCAGTGGATTGCTTCACTCCTACGGACCGTCCTCACAGCATGAAGTTCAGATTTCATGCTTCAGTACAAGTGCAAATCATTACGTGTCATGGGGAGCAGGTTCTCTGGCAGAGCTGGAGGGTAAACGCTACAATTCTCAAATGGCTCCTGTCCCCACTGAATGTCAGTCCTTCCCCAAGAGCTGTGCTGGGGGTACAAGCATAGGCGGAGACCCAAAGACCTGGCTCTTGGGCTCAGGCAATGACAACCAGAGGACTAGAGACCTTAGAGATGAGACAGGTGATCTGAGAGTAGCAAAGGCAAGACTGAGGCCTGTGTCCCAACGAGGGAAGAATAGAAAAGTCTTGGAGCACGGAGGAAGGACCACCTTGCTGTAATCATTTATTGACTCTTAGGTCATTCCCTATCATTTCTTGAAGTTTCAGTGCCTGGTAAATATCTCTAACACTGCTGTAAAATCTTGGGGACTTCAGAATACCTGTCTCCTGCCCAGTAGTTTACAAGTTCTCAGGCTGAGATGATAAAACGACAGCATGAGGCACATAGGGATCTGGCTGCCAGTGTCCGGACTGCCCCGCCCTGGGTATCTGGAGGCCATGTGCTCCAGTGCGGTGCGACCCTCCCCGCCCTGCGCCTGGGGGGTGAGTCCTGCTCAGTCTGACGCCGTCACGGTCATCCCTCCCCTGCACTGCCGTGGTTTAGGGATGGGCGTCTGGTCCGTTTAGGCCAATGGGATGTGAGGGGATGTCTCCGAGGGAATTCTGGGGGCGATTGTCATATTCTTAAAAAAGAGACACAATGAAGGAACATTTTCCTTTCTAGCCTCAAGACACAGGCATCGTGGGAGAAGACTAAGCCTTGAGTTGCTGCAGCCACTTTGTGACCATGAAGGTGCAAACTCGAGGGCAAAAGCCAATGTGCCGGGACAGTCAGCCATGGAACTCCCTCCCTCTGAACTCCCTGTGTGTGGTTTAAGCTCCTCATTGCTTAAAAACTTTTGACTTTGGGCTTGTGCTGCCGCTGCCGGAAGCCCAAAGATCCCAGCTGATCACGGCCACGTGCAGCCGCAGACGGCGCCGCGGGCCATGGAAGGTCAGGGCCAGCTGCGGGTGCGTTGAGGTAAAGGGCCCATTCGAAGGAGACCAGGTGGGGTGTGGCCTGCATGTGGGGCAGAGAGGTCTAGAAATGTGGGTAGAAAGAGACTAGAATACAGAGGGCCTTGAATGTCTGTGTCCGTCTGCCTTTGTCGTGTGCTCCCCAGCGTTGATTTGGAACAGTTGTTCGACTTGATCTGGGTCACCACCTGTTAAGCCCCGGGCTTCAGAGCAAACCCCACAATGTCTGGTGGCTTGGGTGAAAGAGTGAGTGGGGTGAGGGGAGAGAAAATTCACAAGTCCAGCCAGGGCCAGCAAGGCAGAGCTGGCATGCTCCAGGGAAGGGACCCTGGCCTTTTTTGCAGGGCAGATACGGAAGTAATCTTATTAAAGAAAGGGCCACAGACTGCTTGGGGCCAGGCAGTCTGGAGACGTGCAGCCAAGGGCCCTGGGGAAGTTGCAGTTCCTGGCGAAGCCGTGGCGGTGGGAAGCTGAGCGTGGGGCAGCCCCTCCCCCGCAGAGAAGCGGGATCCCAAGGAGCTCTCTGCGTGTGGCCCTGAGTGAGCCCCCAAAGCCACTTCCACAGCCCGGCTCCTGGCACAGCGGGGGCCTGAGGATTTTGTGGTCTTCCGCCAAGGTGGAGTCCAACATTTTCATGTCACGGCCAGTGCAGCACTGAGGGAGGGGTCAGGACCGTGGGATTCAATCGCCAAATGCCATGCCTTGTGTGTGGCCGCGCGCCAGGAGCTTTGCACTTGCAGAGCAGGCAGAGCAGCAGGGCTCGTGGGTTGTGATCTCACGGCGCCTTTCTTTCGTCTCACGCTGTCCCTACGTGGTGGCCAGTGCAGGTAGCTCTTCCCGTGCGCAGGAGGGGTGTGTGGCAGTTCCAGACTTTCCTGATCACTTTGAGAGGGAAGTACTGCCGTGACTTCAAGCCGCAAAACATAGTCGTAATTCCAGAATTATAATGTTCAGTCACAAGCAGTTGTAAGTTTCCGGTTTTATTCAAAGTTATTAATAGGACTGTTTTCCTCTGCTTGGGAGCCTGCCTCTGGGGGGGAGGGTGTGACCAGCCTTTCCTTTCTCACTCACCCACCTCTGCTCATCTCCACTCACCCCTGCTCAACAGTGCTGAGCCCTCAGTTGGGTTTCGAGAATCTCTGGCCAGGGATTCAGAGGCATAGAATCGGCCTCTCCACAGCCCCCAGAGGTGCCAGCAGCAGCTGGGACACGCCCCCTCCTCAAGGTCTGAGTCCCAGCTGCAGGGTCCCCCTCGGAGCTTCTAGACCCTGACAACCCCACCTCGTCCCTCTGTTCTCCCAGCCCCAGGCTGGCAGCTGTTTCCTCCAACTATTATTTCTGCATTACCTTGTTGTTCTCTTAGTGATTTTTCAGTCCTGCAACACTTGTTTAACCAATTTCCTATATTATATTCTCTCTGATGAATTACCTATTTTGGATTCTGTTTTCTTGGCTAGACCCTGATTATACATTGGTTATTTAACAATTTCCAGCCACTACAGTTGCAAGGAGATATAAATTAAATTTAATTTAATAGCTGTTTATGGAGAAAATGATGAAACATTTGCTCATGTCAGCCAGGGCCTGGTAAAATACTACTCTCCCTGAGAGAGGGATTTGTGCTTAGCTGGAAGGCTAGACCTTCCTTCTCTGCCTTTGCTTCAAGCCCAGAGGGCGGCCAACATATCATTCATGGGCCGAACTACTGCACCTTCCAGCGCTGTGGCACGGTCCATGGGAGGGGTGGGGGCTGCGTGCCAGCCCAGAGACAAAGGAGGGGCAGCCTCATGGAAAAGGCTGGTGGCCGCTGGATTTGAGTCTAGGTGTTTCTAGGTCTCGCTGGGCCAGGGGGCGTGGTGGAAGAGAAAGAATCTTCCCTGAGTCTCTTTTGATATCATGGGACTGTGTTTGCTTCCATGAGATGCAGAGGATTCCTAACTTTAATTTGCTGAATACCATCTTTGCATTTCATCTTCATTATCCTGCCCATTTCCTTCATCGCCGATAATTCCTTCAAAGATTAGGAAAAGTGGATCAGACAGAATTTGCTTCTCTTCATTTCTAAAACCAAGACAACGGTAGCGAGACAAATGTTGCCGTCTTCTGCTCGAATGACAGGAGGTTGTCTGTCCACTGGAGTTGTGTCCTCCTCCTCCTCTTCCTCCTTTTTCTCTGCTGCTTCTTTACAGTCATTCTTTTGTCACTTTCTTTCTGACCACATTGTGGTCAGCAGCTTCAGAAATTTCTCCATGTGTAGTTGCTCTAAACAAAGCTATGACTTGGCCGTAAAGCTTAATCAAATTTGTGTCATCTCCCATGTCAGAATCGTGACGCTGGTTTGCGTCCCGGTGAGCAACCCTGACTCGTCCGGGAAGTTCCTGGAGGTTCTAGCACCGCCAGGGCAGAAGGGCCAAGAGCTGTGCGACTGGTCTTCCGAGGAATCCTGGTGCCCCACTTGGGAATATCGTATCTATTGTATCTTCCTTGTTGCCCTCTGTTCATACCCATATAGTGTTCATACACACGTATGCTACACACATATATGATCTTTTATAAACATTTATTATTTTAAAAACTACTCTGTAAGGTATGTTTCATTAGCTCCAATTTACATAGCAGGCAACTGAGGCCCAAGATACTGCTAGCCAGTGTCACAGACATAAACCGAATGTAGACCTAGCTGCAGTGTCTCTGTGCCATCCCCACTGTGACGCTCTTCTCCAGGCACGCTTGAGTTTTGTGGACCAGGGCATGCCAGTGACCCTTTTTTTGGCCCTCTGTCCTTCCATGCATTAAGAGTAGAGAATAAACCACATGTCTCCCCAGCTCCCAGGGAGGCACTGAGGCTCAGTGGAACGCTCAAGCCACGCTGAGATCTGTGGGCACTGGGGCCTGTCCTTGCAGGGTGTGTTAGGGGAGCCCCTCTGGGTCGCTCCCTGCCTTGTCTGCCCTGAAGGTCAGCTCTGGCTCTCAGAGCCTTGCAGAGCAGGGGCGATTCTGCCCAGGGATAAGATCTGATCCTGCCTGCACTTCCACAGGGGAAGCAGATGGTTTGGGGAAATCCAATTTAAAAAGAATGAAATCAAATTAGCCTTCTAGGGGTCTGATGGCCAAGGCTTGAGTGAAGACAATTACATTAGATGCTCTGCCTCATACAGCCAGCCTGAAGACCTGGGGGAGGGGAAGCTACCCTGGGGTCCCTTAGCCCTGGGTGGCTTCCGGTCGTGGCTGAGGGGAGAGGAGAGAATGTAGTTTGGTGGAATAAAGTCCTTAGACTGTGATGATCCCTCGCTTGGGACCCGTGAACCTAGCTCACTCCGCCACTTGCCCTTCCGTGGCTCACAGACCCTCTCTGTAACTCTTCTTTCTCAAAGATCCACATGCACAATCTTACCTCTTTTGGAGTGTAGTCACATTTATTTAAGGAGAACACTTAAGAAAAACACCCCTCAACGTGAGCCGCGTTGCACAAAAGTGTCGGGCCCGTGTGCTCCAGGAAATCCACTGCAGAGCTCCTTGGGGTGTAAGGAACTGTGGTGTGGGCTCATCAAGGGTGGCTGTCCCAGGTGGTCCTTGAGCCAGTCAGCTCTGACCAGAAAGATGTCCCAGGATGTTCTTTCTGCCTAAATTTTTGGGCTTGGAAGATTGTGGACATCAGCACTGTTCCTGGCCTCGTGAAAGTGACCAGAGATCGGTGCTCTGCCAAGGGATGCCGGTGGGGACGTTTCTTGTTGGATGGTACCGGACAACCTGCTCTGCTGAGGGGGCGTGAGTGTGAGACGCAGAGAGAGGCGGAGACCCTGGGGGCAGATGCCACCGTCCTAGGCCTCTGCGGACCCGGGCTAGAAAGTGCAGAAACTCCCAGTGGTGGTGCAGCTGCTGAGACGCCAAACATCCTTCCAACAAACCTCATTATTTAATGGCACTGAGTGGGGAAAACATGCAACCATTTCAGAGACGAAATACTGTTGCAAAATATGTTTGGGTTGCCCATACAAATGTCACTGTTCCCTAACCTTTACTAGAGGTCCTTCCCCAACCCCCATCCCGTAATCGAATAAAGAGGGAGAGAGCTGGTTTTTTGAACCTGCTCTTGGAGACCCGTGTTTTTTATAAAAAGCTCTTAGAGATGGAAGGCGTCACGTCCCCCTCGGTGCAGCCACACCTGTTCTCTAGCTTCCCCCGGAGCCTGGTTCATGTCCGGGCCACTACTCCTGGGCGGCCCTCCTCTGTTGGACAGCCCTGGTTTAACGGGGCTTTCTTTATGGTCAGCCAGAATCTGTTCCCTGGGAGTTCTGCCCACCAGTCCTCGTTCTGGCCTCGGGGAAAACACAGACCCTGGAGTACCCCCCACGCTTCAGATATTGGAGAACAAGGACTGCTGTGGTGTTGGATTCTCCCTCTCCCAGGTTAGAATGTTAGAATCCCCTCGTCCTTCACTCTCCCCTTGGATGACAAAGTCTTTAGGCACCCCCTCTAAGTCTCAGGAGCTGGTCTCCTTCCTTCCTGAGGGCTGGCCCGGGAGGGAGCGCCATGGATCCTGTCCATCTGGATGCCCATATGCCCACCTCTCTGTATGCGGCCGGAGACACCATCTCCTCACAGTTTGGGATTCCATTACATTTGTGGTAAGCTAAATTTTTTCTTTCTTTTTCTTAAAGACAGGGTCTCACTCTTGCTCAAGCTGGTCTCGAACTCCTGACCTCAAGCAATCCTCCCGCCTCAGCCTGCAGAGTGCTAGGGTTACAGTGTAAGCCACCACACTGGCCTTAAATTTTTCAAATGAAAATTGTTTCTGCATCCTGCATTTATGTAATGGGTTCTTCCAATCAAATGATGCTCCGGTATGTTCCTGTCAAATTTCCTCCTATGATATGAACGCTGGAAGGCAGCCCTGTGTGAGACACGCAATAAAACTTGGAGAAAGATAGACCTGGATTCAAATATATATCCAGTATATTATGGTCTTGGGGCAAACATTTCACTTCTTTCTCTGAACCCCAAGTTCTCAAAATGTAAAATGGAATAAAAGACATATAACTCACTTGTTCTCTTCCAATCTTCACTGTAGACTGAAAAAGACTAAATGCTCATTTTCTCAGCCTCCCTTCTAACTATGAGTAGCCATGTGACAGATTCCTGGCCACTGATGCACACATGGAAGTTGATTTTCAGTCTGTGAAGGCGATGAGGGGGAAGCTTTTGCATTTTAGATAAGAGGGGTAGGTGTGGCTAGCATTTGTCCTTCACTACTTCTTGCTGTGAAATGGCTGGAGCTGCAGCAGCTACCTTATGACCATGGGGGCCAAGCCAAGAGGATCACTGAGGTGCCATCTTTGGCAGATAGAGCTGCTAAATCAACACTTCTAGTTGCCTCCAGACTTAACATAGAAGGGAAAAAACATGTTATTTAATCAGCCAAATATGCATCTAACTTACTCAACTAAAAGTGTGGTAAGGATCAGAGACCATGCTAAGCATATTCTATGGATTGCTTGATTTCATTTACTTATTATTTATTCCTTTTGAGATACATCCTTTGGGTGTCATATTGATTATTCTAGTCTCTTAAGAGCTCTTTGAACTATAACTGTTATCCAAATGACTGGATATTCTTCAGAGCTTTGTGAAATCTACAATATTTGATAGTATTCCAAGTTGTCATTTAAAACATTGACCAGGGTAGGGCAAAGCAGGGCCCCAAAGCCCACCGATAGAGACTTCACCCTTGTATGGCTGTGTTCACTCACCATGGATATGCCTAATGGTGTTGGAATTTCACCCATACCTCTCTACCTTGTGCCGGGCAGCTCATGAGATTCCCTGGGGAAATGACAGCCTCGTGGAATGAGCCCTGGGACACATGTGGGGGCCTGGCCCACCCTTGCACCACTCAGCTCCATCCAGAGGATGTGGGTTTGGAGGCTTGGGCCTTCGAGGGGAGTCCAGGAGGTTTATGAATTTTTAAGCACTTTGAGTCCTTGAAGGGCACTGGGTGAGGTAATAACCTTTTACTAAATCTGGCTGTTTCTATCCCAACTTGTTGCCCCTGGACTGCTCTTCACAGTTGGGCCAAGAGGCCAACACATCCAGCTGCTCTTCCTCTTATGCTCAGGACTCTTTCTGGACCCAGCGCTGTTGTTTTTGGCACAGTCGTGGCTCCCCACGCCCCTCCGCTTGCGAGAGCTGCGGCCCGGCCCGGCGTCCCCTCGCTGCAGAGCTACACCTGGCTGCGTCTGCCAGGAGCAGGGGAAGCGCATTTGGGCCTGACTGAGGCAGTGTGGACAGCTAGCTCCTTCTGGGGTGTCTGCCAGCTCTCACCTCTTCCGGCACTGGGCCCGGTGTACAGGCCGCAGAGGGTGGCCAGTTCTTTACTCTACTCACCCCTCCTCGCCCCCGGGACAGGGGGAGATATTTCACTGAAACTGGGTCAAATTCTTCTCTCCTAAAACTTCAAGTGGGGCTAATGGAGGTTGTGGAGTTGAAGGGCAGCCCTTACGCTACCCCATGAGGACTGAGTAGCAGAAAAAGTTGGTCTCTTTGGAGAGCACAATTAGCACACAGAAATGGGGAGCTGCAGAACCTTCCTAAGGCCCAACTGTCTTTCCTCCCATTCTTGGGTTCCATGACACACCAGCCGTGTTCTTAATCAATTGCTTGCTTTTGCTTAAGCTCGCCCGTCTGTCCACTATCTACTACCTACAGGCAGACAGGGTATAACCCCGAGTCGGTCCTGAGTTAAGTGCTAGCAATGTATTGCACACTAAGCTCAGCCGTCGGCAAAGCAGCGAAGCAGTGTCCGGAGCTTGGGCCCTGCCTTTCCCAGGGGGAGCGGGCAGTACACGCAGGGCCGACATAAGGCTCATCAGGGATTACAACACCCTGGGCTGGGAGTCTTCGTCACCCTTAGATAAAACCAATGTTTGACCTATTGTTTTCCTCTCCCCACCAGCCTCTGCTCAGCTCTAATCCACTGTTTCGGTGAATTTACCTGTTCTAGGTGCCGCATGTAACAGGAATTATAAAATATTTGGTCTTTAAGTGTCTGGTTTATTTCCTTGACACAATGTGTTCAAGATTACAGCATGTGTCAGAATTTCATTGCTTTTCAAGGCTGTGTAATATTCCCTTGTATGAATACACCACATTTTGTTTGTCCATTCATCTGTTGATGGACGTTTGGATTGTTTCCACCTTTTGGCTATCGTGAGTAATGCTGCTATGAACATTGGTGTTTTGATTTTTTTTAATGTAATGGCATTCAGAGACATTGACTCTTTCTTTCCATTTTTCTTTTTTTAATGTTAAGAACAAACCCAAACTAAATTGAGGAGTGGAAAATAAAAATTGTTTTCCTACGTCTCTGTACTTCCCTTCTCCTGGTGTTTTGCCCACTCTGCCTGCCCACTCTGGATTGCCACGACTGTGTGACCCGGCCACCTGCTTACGCTGAACCACACTTCCCGAAATTCCCCTTCCTGTTTCCGGTTGGCGAGGGGCACAGAGCAGACCCCTGTGGGAAGCTGGAGGCTGGAGGTGAAGCCGCAGGCACTTCATAGCTCATGCAAACTTGCTTCTCGGAGGGCTCTGCCTCGGCACCTCCAGGCCCTGGGCCGAGTGTAGAGCTCCACCGTGGAGTGGAGGGCCCGGCCTCTGCAGGACGCACACCACCGCCCTCAGGGGCGGCGAGGGTGGACACGACGTGTCTGTCTTCATGAGCCGCGCCCCACGTCTCTCACCTCCCACCATCTGTCCTTCCCAACTCTCAGCAGGGTCTGCTTAACCAGCCCCAAAGATCGAGTGAGCTCAAATTCCTGCAACAATCCCTTCACACATGTATCTCTTAGGCAGGGGTCTTCTAACTGCTGCCCGCCGAAGACATTTATCTGGCCCGCCGGGTGTTTCTGCCGCCGCCGCCTGTTCTGCTTAGCAGCCAACTCGTCCTGCGCCCCCAGTGGCATGTGTGGAATGCGCACTGCTCTCTCCAACAGTCTGAGGGACCGTGTGGACTGGCCCTGTTTAAAAAGTTTGAGGACTCCTGTTTAGTGGCTCTGCTTCTCTGATTAAACCCTGATGGGTACATACTCATTTATTCATTCAACCAACAAATATTAATTGATAAGAAAAAGTGAGGCTGGGCGCGGTGGCTCACGCCTGTAATCCCAGCACTCTGTGAGGCCGAGGCGGGAGGATTGCTTGAGCTTAGGAGCTCAAGAGAGACCAGCCTGAGCAAGAGTGAAACCCCGTCTCTACTAAAAATAGAAAAAATTAGCCGGGCATGGTGGCGCATGCCTGTAGTCCCAGCTACTCGGGAGGCTGAGGCAGGAGGATCGCTTGAGCCCAGGAGTTTGAGGTTGTTGTGAGCTAGGCTGATACCACGGCACTCTACTCAGGGCAACAGAGTGAGACACTGTCTCAAAAAAAGAAAGAAAAAAGAAAAAGCACCCACTAAGCACCAGACATGAGATTCTCGGCAGTGAGTGAAGCGAAGTCCCTGCCACCACGGTGCACGAGGGCACTACGGCAGCCCCAGGACACCACACGCGGCCGAATGCAGGGCCTGGCGCCGAGGCTCCAGCGCTGACTCTCCGGTGACCGCGTGTGGCGGTGGCCCACATCCTTCTACCTGTCTGCGGCTCAATTCCTTCCTAGTGAAGCAGGGACACCAGCCTTCCCGTCTACCTCTCCTATGAATGCAGTTAGAGAGCAGCTGAAAGACATCTGAAAATTAAACAGCTCTAAAAAAAAATTAAAGAAAAAAAAAACCAGTCCAGGATATTGTCGTATCTTTTATTATGTATCAAATTGTCTTCAATATAAGTTACAACCTGATTAAATTTGATAGACATTTTTATCTATTTAAAGAAAAAAATTCTCTTTATGTACAGTATCTTTTGTCTAGAGTCTAGCAAATATAGTACCTTTCATTGCAGGGCTGCTGCTTAACATAACAAGCAAAAACAAACAACCAAAACATATAAACCAAAAGCAAACCAGACCCCCTCAGCTACAAATATCAATTATCGAATGAAGCATTAAAAGACAAACATATAATAACTTTTTTGGTTTAGAAATGCAGAATGAATACTAAAGTTAGTGGCAAAAATCCAAAAAAACCCAACAGTCTTCTGGGGTAAACTTTCCTGCTCAGGCACGTAGGCTGACTCTAGACCATCTCTCGGCTTCTGCGGATAGCACAGCACAGGATCATGCTGAAGATCATGCCAAAGATCTGCGAGACAGGGAGTGGTGTCAGGACCAGGCGAGTGCTGCCTGAAGGCTGAGGGCAAGGGCAAGACCGGAGGCATCCAGTCCATGACACATGACAAGGAGAATGGCACCCATGAGACCAAATGAATTAAAAAGCACTGAAGCAGGAGAGATGTAGGCCAGATAACAGGAGGGACCGCTGGCCTGGTGGGACTCTAAGGGTCTGCAGTCAGTTACTAATGCAAGCTGCACAAGCACCCCTCCCTGGGGAACTTTCCAAGTGAGAAATAAGCTCGGAGTTAAATTTCATGCTTGAATTCCAGATGTTCCGACGGTCCACACAGGTTAGTGCTTACGCTTTCACCTCCCTGTGTGTGTGTGTGTGTGTGTGTTTAATAGTCTATTTTAAAAGGTCTTAACACTGAGAGTGGCTTCAAACCTTTCTTAGACGCACACAAGGGGTACAATGACCACTAAGAAAGGAGGCAACTCTCTCTTTGGGGCAGTCCTGCAAGGGGCAGAGGAGGAGGGTGGGGGTAGGACTCAGTGAGCCGGGCCATCCCAGTGAGGGTGGGGGTCCTCACTGGGAGAGGGGCTGGCCCCAGGGAACTTGGTTGGCCCTTGGTTTCTAGAAGCTGATTAGCAGGAGACTGGAGCAGCTGGAGTCTTAGTCTTCCTCCTGGCTGCCACCTGTGGACGCCCTGCAGCCTACGGGAGGAAATGGACACCCTCCACCCAGGTAGCTCGTAGGGAACTACCTTCTTGAGAAAGAAAAGCAGGTGCGTGCAGAGACGTGCTCTGAGGACCAGCGGCGCTGGCGTCACCTCACATGCGCCCCAACCCTTAACAGCTGAGAGAGTCGATTCTGGAGACACACTGAGGTCGAACCTCGGGTCCTTCACTCAGGAGCTGAGGGGCTTCGATCACCTTACCCCTCTCTGACCCCCTCGCCTCCTAGCTGCAGAGCAGACACACTAACAGCATCCACCTCGCAGGTGTGGGGAGGATGGGGCCAGGTGATAAACACACAGCACTTAAAGTAGTGTCTGGAGGGAGTGTGTGCTGAGTAAGTGCCACCACTGAGAAGGCCAGCCCTGCCCAGACGCCCGGCCACTCACCATCACCACGGCAATGCCGATGCCCACCGCGCCGATGATGTGGAACTTGTTCTCGAAGACATCTCTGATGGCCGCCGGGCAGGGCTTAGGGAGGCAAACCGAGACCCCGGTCACACACCATCCCCTCTCCAGGGACACCCCCCTCCCATGGACCCCAGGCGCACTGAGACGGGGGAGAGGACAGGCTGGGGGCAGGAGTGTCCAGGGAAAGAGATGTCCTGGCTCGTGGGTGGCAGGGGACCCGAGAGGTGGCTATGCGAGTGGGTCCCTAAACTCTGGGAAGGACGTTAGGGGAGGAAGAGGGATGGGCTCTGTTTCTGATATGGCAGTGGAGTCGCTCTTTATTATTCCGACTCTGGACGTTAGCGTACGATCGTGAGCCGTTTAGAAAGGAGTCCAAGACTTAGAAGCACGCCTGTCCTCGGCGGCATTAGGGCTGGGGTGGCAGAGGGCGAGGGGAGCGAAACACTTCGCTATTCCCCTTGCTGGCCTTCGCTTTGCTGCCCTCGAGGAACGGAGGCCCTAAGGAGGGGAGAAAAGAGACTGTCCCCCGGAAACCCTCTCGCAGGCGGAAGGGGTATTTATGAAACGCTCGCCAGCTCTGCTGGGGCAACAGAGCGGGGGCAACCGGGTCTTGCTCCTGAGTTTACCTTCACGGTGAGGCTGTCGAGGATGTCCTTTTTGGGGCAGATGTCCGAGATAAACTGCTCCACACCCCCAGCCAAACCGCAGCAGTTCAACTACACAGAGAAGGCAGGGATGGGGGTGAGAGGCGCGAACAGAAACAGACGGCTGCAGCAGAGACGCACCGGGCGGGTCTCACCAGCGCCCTGCGTGCAGACGTACTGTGAAGACACGTGGGTCTTCAGGACAGGGGGTCTCTGCCGAGACGACGTACCGCGTAGTGGATGGCTTTCAGCGTCTCCCGCTGGGGCCCTTCCTTGGATTTCAGCTTGTTGTAGGTGTCCTCGTACATTTCCTGGATGTCCTTAATCACCTACAGTGGACAGAGAAGAGGGCCAGAAACAGCTTTTTCACACACTTGTTCATGAACAAACGTTACCTGTTCCACCCTGTTCACTCTCTGCAAGTTCCCAGCCAGCAAACACGCGTGTTGGCAAACATCACTGGGCAGACAAAAGCCTCCAGTCCTGCCGTCTTGGGGCCTCTAGGCACCTCCCGGATCCTGCCATTTGTCCTGGTCACCTGTACTTTTTGTTGGTCCCTTCAGCCCTGAAATCGAATCTCCTCAATCTAAAGCATAATGGTGGCTCATGCCTGTGATCTCAGCTCTTGGGGGACCCAGTCAGAGGATCGCTTGAAGCCAGGAGTTTAAGACCAGCCTGGGCAACACAGTGAGCCCCCATCTCTACAAAAAACAGAAAAATTAGCCAGGTGGCATGTGCCTGTAGTCCCAGCTACTCGAGAGGCTGAGCCCAGGAGTCGGAGGCCGCAGTGAGCTATGATAGAATCGCTACACTCCAGCCTGGGTGACAAAGTGAGACTTCATCTCTAAACAAATATTAAATTACATTAAAGAATAATAATAAAAATTCAAAATCCTACTCCTGACCTGTTTCCTCAGGCTTCCATCTTCTTTGTTTCTTCACTTAGGTGTGACTTTTGGCAAATTGTTAACCGTCTCTACATGTCAGTTTCTGCATATGCAGGATAGGAGATTATACTAGTCACTAATCTCATAGGTGACTGTGAGGATTTAAGTGAGATGCTGCACGTTAAGCCTTTACATCATGTCTGGTACAGAGTAAATGCGGAAGAGGTGCTGGCTAGATCACTATCCTCTTGTACCTGGGTGCATCCCGGTTTAAAGCATGCCTGTCCCCTCGACTCTTACCCGCATCCAATTAACAACCAACACTCGGCATTTTTCCTTTAACATCTTTCTGACGTCTTCTACAATTATCCTTTCTTATTTCTACGGCTGCAGCTATTATGACAGGGCCCCTGCCTCCTCCCTCCCTTTCCCCTTCCTGCTGAACGTGACAAGGTAGCACTTCCTAAAATGCTGCTCTGATATGGCCCATCCTGGCAACTCTTCAGGGCTCCCCATGAAGTCCAAGCTCCGCTGTGCTCAGACCCTTTGTCTGGGACCAGCCCCTGCCTCCACGAACTTTCCTCCTGAAATCCCACCTCTCATCCAAGGTTTAGGTCAGTGCACCCTTCTCCATGAAGCTAGAGGACTGCCCTTTCCCGCCAGACCTTTCTTTTTTGCTTTTGAGGGAGAGTCTCACTCTGTTGCCCAAGCTAGAGTGCCATGGCGTCAGCCTAGCTCACAGCAACCTCAGACTCCTGGGCTCAAGTGATCCTTCTGCCTCAACCTCTCGAGTAGCTGGGACTACAGGCATGCGCCACCATGCCCAGCTAATTTTTTCTATGTATTTTTAGTTGGCCAATTAATTTCTTTCTATTTTTGGTAGAGATGGCGTCTCGTTCTTGCTCAGGCTGGTTTTGAACTCCTGACCTTGAGCGATCCACCCACCTCAGCCTCTCAGAGTGCTAGGATTACAGGTGTGAGCCACCACACCTGGCCTCCCTCCCGACCTTTTCAAATCCCACAGTACCTTGGACAGAAATCACTTCTATGACACTTGTCAAATACATGTCTTTCTCTCACACCAGACGGCCAAGTCCCTGGAAGTGGGGCCCAGAGCTTGTGCACCCGTGGACCCTGCGTCGGGCTGGGCACAGCACTTGGCTCGTGCGGCAGCACCCGAACACATACTCACAGATGAGAGGAGGGCGAGTGGGTCCAGCCCACAGAAAGCCAGGTTTTCCTGAGCAATCTTTCCAGGAGTTGGGGAAGGGGCTACTGCAGTGTGTGACAGACAGACAGACAGACACAGACCCAACGAGGAGTTCCCGCACGCCTGCCGTGAGCTGGCACTGGGGCTGGCACACACCTGCACGGGGCAGAGCGAGCGCTCACGTGCCCTGCCCTTAAGGATGCGTGTTCTGAAGGCGTGTGGAAACGTGTGAGGATGGGAGGCCTGCTCAGGGGCTGAGAGCTGACCAAGGACCCCTCCCCCTCCCCACGCCCTCCCCCAGCCCCAAGCCAGGTCACCACGAGACACACCTACCTCGTCTTTGTGGGAATATCCCCAGACGGCCGCAGCTATCTCGATGGCAAATATCACCAAGAGGAAGCCGAAGAACTAGGAGGAAAAGGGGACAGTGTGAGGGACGATGCGGCCAACCAGACGGCAGCATCAAAAGGCATCTTGGAGCACGGAAGAACGACAGCTCTCTGGGGAGCAGCCTACAAGAGGCAGGGAAGAAGTTCACGGCACGGGCAGAGTTAGCCCAGCGAGGAGGGCGGAAGCTGCAGCAGCAGGAGGTGCCGGCAGCCCAGCCCCACACCCCACACCGGCGGCGTTTGTAGGGTGTTGGTTAAGAGTCAGTGAGCAGCGAAACCCAGAGACGTGGGGAGATGAAGGAAGCGAATGCACGAATGCAGCGAAGTTGCGGGTGACTGCGAGGAATTCTGGGACAAGCGGGAGACAAGGCGAAGGTACTCATGGGTTCAGGCAGAAAAAGCAAACGTGGTCCTCGAGAAAGGGGGAAACAAAGTCCTGGCACTTAGCTGCCTAAGGGAAGTGACAGGACAGGCTCCAGGTGGAGAGGGGCCGCCCCACACTGGGGAGGGGCGAGGGCAGCACGGGGCGGCCAAGGGCAGCTGAGGCCCAGCCCCTTGGGTGCCTTCCCACCCCTCCCTCCCGTCGATCTGTGGGTCTGGTGCTGCCGAGGCCCAGGGTGGCTGCGGGGATGGGGCACTCACCAAGCCCAGCATGCACTGGGACTCCTGCACAGCGCCGCAGCAGCCCAGGAAGCCCACCAGCATCATGAGGGCGCCGGCTCCGATCAGGATATAAACTCCTGCGGGAGGGACAGAGGAGAGGACCACGTGGAGAGGCCTGCCTGGGGGCCCAGGCCTCGCCTGCGGTGCCCATGCCGCTGCGTGCTCCGCCTCCTGGTCCTCACTGCCCGCCCGATCTCAGGGAAGATGCCTCCCCTGCAGCACAGCCGTCTCCTTCCCGCCGCTTCCCTTCCAGGACTCTGCGTCCTCACGTCCGCTCCTGCGTTATCCTCGGCCTTTCCGGATGGTGCGTGTTAGCCAGAATCTAGGCCGAGCACAGCCGAGGAGCTCCCACCTCCTCGGGAGGCAAACCGGTCCAGGCCCTCAGCTGTCTCGGGCAAGACGAATCCACGTGAGCTAGTTAACGGAGACCCTCCAGATCCGGTAACTCCTGGGGCTCTGACAGGCCTCCCGTGGGTCTCTGCCTCACAGAGGACGCCTGAGGGCGAGCTTCCAGAAGGAAGGGGCTGTGCACACCCAGACAGCTGCCAGTGGCCTCCGTGACGCCCAAGGGCACGTGTTGGCAAAGGTGTATTTGCTCTAGTACAAAGGACACAGGGCTGGGTGTCGAAGACCCTTGTTTTGGAACCAACACTGCTACTAATTGCTCTGTGACCTTGGGCAAGACACTTTCCCTCTCTGGGGCTCAATTTCCTTATCAGTAAAATTAAAGAGGTAGAATGCTAGAAGATTTCCAAAGATCCCCAAGAAATCTTACAATTGCAACTCAGTTATTCCTGGTCAAGGGTGAAAAGGGTCCTGCTTGCTAAGGGGTGGGTGAGTGGAGTGCTGATGGGGTGGGAGGATGGCAGTGACTTCTGTAACTCTTGCCCACACCCAAATCAATGCAAACTCCTGGGACAGGGGAACACAGACGAGCAGCCCTGGTCCCATTCATTCCACAACCCACCAAGGGAATGCCCAGAGGGGCCCATCCTACACTTACATTCTTGAGGAGCCACAGCTATCCTGCAGGGACACCTCCTTACTCAGCCCCCACCCCCATATGCAGGCCCCATGAGAAAACCAGCAGAGAAGGCCCACGGCCTTCCAGGTTACAGGTATGCTCTATGCAACCTTGAGAGGGGCTGTTGTCACACATCGAGAGCACCAGCCCCAAAGCCCAAAGGGCCTGGGCTTTCCCAGGTGGGGAAGCCCCGTAACCTCTCTGTGCAACAGTTTTCTATCTGCACAACGGGGACGGGAACAATGCCTACCTCCCAGGACTGCTGTGACGACGCAGTGATACAATCCATGCGTGCACAACAAATGTTACCTGCTGCTCATCTCAATAATACAAAGGATGGGCAACAATTATTAATAACCATAGTGGTGAATTTTCTATACTTGCTGCTCTCTCCATACTGCCCTTTAACTGGGACTAGAGAGATTTCCTTGTAGTAGGGGCTGAAAATGAGAGAGGGAGAAAGGGCCTGGGAAGTTTCCCCAGAACACACAGCAGGATATGGGGTGAGAACTCACGAAGGTGACACAGTGACCTCAGTGTCCCACATCTGTACCCTGAGTGTAGGGCTGAGGCTTTGCAGGCAACAGAGCGTGGAATCTGCCCACAGCTGAGGTGCATGGGTGGCACGGAGCAGAACGCACACAGGGAGCGTCTGTGCCTCCCCCTTCTCCCCCACATCTGTCGTGAGGTCAGGTCACGTGGGCTCCCTGGCAAACCCCATGTTGCATGAATATGGGTATTGTTCCCGTGCACGCCCAGCCCAGACTGGGCAAGGGCACAAATAGAGCTTGTCCTCGAGTCAAGTCCCATCCTCCTAGGCAGGCCAATGCTGTGGGCCACGGGCTGGACTCAGGGAGGCAGAGCAGCCCCTACATGGGGCCCTGGGGAAGGGGGCAGCCTCCCCCAGTTCTCAGCTCTAACTCGGGGACACCAGTGAGCCGGGCAGTGGAATGGGCCCTGTTTCTCCCCATCTCACCGGGGCAAGACAGAGAAGGATGAGGTCACTCCTTTAAGCTCCAAGGCAGGGGCTGCATAAATAGGGGGTATTAAGAGATCACTAGGATTTATAAGCACACAGAATACAGAAGAGTGGGAATGAGCAGACAGACGTGTTTTCTCTAAGACCACATCCCAGTTCCTAAGCCCAGCGATCCTGGCAGAGGCCAGGGGAGTTGGATCAGCAGCAAGTGAGCCACTAACGGAGAAAGCATTTCCCATGCAGAAAGGGAGAATATTCTCTTAATGGGCCTCGGTTAATATTAAATATTCATTCCAGGGCTTAGCAGAGGAAGATTTTAAGATAAAGGGTCTTGTTGGCTTTAAATCTTGCTTGGACAGTTGTAGACCTGAAGTGCTTCCGTTGAGCCCTCTCTGGGGGGGGAGCTACAAGCACCCCCCGGCAGCTCGCTGTGCCGTCAGGCTGTAGGGCTCCCGGCAGTGGCTGCCGCAGGGCTCGGGTGCTACTTGCAAGGGCGGCCCAGCGCTTCCCTTTGGACTGACTGGCTCCTCACAGCCGACACCAGGCTTGTTAGCAAAGGCCAGCGATGACAAATGACAAAGTGTTCCCCTTTATAAAACAAGCGAATGTTAGCTTTCTGTCTGACTCATGGAAAAAGTTACCCATCACAGAGCCTTCTCTTCTCGGGGATTACAGTATTAACTTGCTTAAGGGCTGTTTATTCTGCTTTTCTCAGGCTGCCATTATAGGCAGCAGTGGCATATGCCAGGGTGTCCTTTACACAAGAAATGGAACAGCGCTTTTCACTGTTTATCAGGCCCGTCAGCTCAGGCCGCGGGAGGACACAGCACCCTCCGCGCACTACCCCAGCCCCGTCCTGCAAACAGCACCGACCGCGCCTGTGTGAGTGGAAGGGAACAAAGCCCGGCTGAGCCTCTGGCCTCCGCTTGCTTAAGAGTTTATTGTCTCCAAGTAACCTGACTGGGGGTTCAAAGGAACCCTAACTCTTCCCCTGCGGGCTCCCTCTTGGTTGCCCTCCCTCCCCTGGGTGGTCGTCCTCGTCCTGGTCACTAAGCACCGCAGTGGGACTCCTTTGCCAGGCTGGCAGTTCTGCGCCTCACAGAGGAGCCGGCGTGTAGTCTGTGCCGGTTTCAGGCTGGGAAAAGGCGGCACGCAGCCACAGAACAAATGGCCCCAGGCCACAAGCTGGCCCGGACACCTGGTCACGCATGGGGGGATGGTCCTAGAGAAGGGTGGGCATTCACGGCCTCTGGCTAGAGCCCCCGGTGCCCTCACTCAGGGGCCATGGTTCTGGGAGGACACCAAGGAGTTAAGAAGGGCTGCTGGCCTGGGACCAAGAAAACGAAGCTCCCCAACATGTTTGCAGCCAGGATTATGGACAGTGCTGACGGGCTGAATCTCCCAGGGCCTGAATCGGAGAGAAGGCCCATATAAGGTTGGCAGCTGTGCTGGGCTCACCATAAACCGTTCCGAAGGCTGGGAAGTTCTTTTTGCACTTGGACTCTGCCTGGCTACATACTCTTTTCTCTGCTATGGAAGCGGTGGCCCCTGGAGAAACGACAGCCTGGGCTGTTCAGGTCTCCTCAGGAGTCGGTGGCATGGCCGGGCTGCCCCGCAGACAGCTAGTGGCCCAGTGCAAGGGATGGTCACCCCATGATGTCAGAGCAGCAGCCAGGGTGCAGCTGGCACTCCCGGCTCATCTGGGAGAAGGGCTCTCGGCCAACACAAAAGGCTGGTGTCACAGCCCAGTGGGGGAAGGGGACACAGAGTGAAGCCTCCTTGGCCCTTTGCCCATGGACGACAATTATTCAGTTTTCCAAAGCGGTCAGTGAAGTGCAGGGTCCAGCCAGACCCAAGCAGCCACCCAGGGTACTGATGTTCTGGTGTCACTTGCATCATCCCTTGTGCCCTGGGCTTCTGCAGGTAGAACGAAGCCTTTACAGCTCAGATCTTTTTCCCAGGAAGGGGGTCCAGCTGCGAAGGACCCGTATTCCCCTGCAGAGCTAAGAAGGGGGCAGTGGCCCCTGCCTCCAACTTGGGGTTGCTGTGTCTCTTTGGGATTGTGCCTTCAAATCATTTTCCTGGTCCCTTCAGGGAGGAGCACACTGACCAATGGAGGGCCTGCAATGACCTTTGGGATCTGAATCCTATGAGGTTTCCTGAGGAAGGCCCCAGCTCTCCCATCATGCTGGTCACTCTCCTGCCCCTCCATGGCTTCCCCACCTGCCACCTGCTGACTAGGACCATGGCTGCGGGGGCTTCTCTCCCTGATTACACCTTGGGCGAAGTCAAAAGGCCAAGAGAGTCCCACTCCACCCCCACCAGTGGGGAGTGTGCAGTCAGTACAGACCCTTTCTATTCCTATATAGGGAGACCCCCACCACCTGGCACAGACAGTCCGGGAAGCAGCTTTCTTAGGCCTGGGTTCTCGAGTCCTGCCTCTTGAGAGCGAAAGCTTGCACAAGTTATTTAACCTCTCTAGGCCTCAGTTCCTTCACTATGAGATGGGAGTCATCTATACTCCTTGCAGAGTTAGGGGAATTAAATAACAAGATCAGCAAGACAGTGACTGGCACAAAAAGGAAGGGGTTAAAAAATGATCGTGTCTTCCTCCCAGTTCCGTCCGCTTACCAATGAGATTCTTATTTCCCACATCTAAAAATATACAGAATTAGCCAAAGAGCCTGGATAACAAAAAAAAGAAAACCCGAGTTGCTAGAAGCAGCCAGAACAATGGGAGGACGGAGCCTCTCTCCCGAGAGGCACACAAGGAGGCCACGGGGCTCTTGCTCGGGGAAGTTGGCTAGAAGCGGAGCCTAGTCCCACACAGTAGTTCTGCTGTCCCCATGCAGGGGTCACAGCGCCCCACTAGCGCAGCGGAGCGCGGAGGGTCTGCCCCAGCCCCTGGGGGGGGGTGCGGCGGGCTGCAAGCCGCTGCAGACACACAGAAACGCTCTGTTGCTAAAACAAGGCAGGGCGCTATAGAAACCTGCTCCCTAAAACTCTGTGTGTAGCTTTTTTTGTTAAACACAAACACATTATGCTTTTCTTTTCTCAATTTCTTTCTGATGATAGGGAGACACACCCAAAAAAATTCCAACTAACAACAGCGAAAAGCAGTCAAACCAGCAACACTATCCACAAGGCTCAGGTGTTAGTTACACAACCGGCCAGGCTGTTTCTAAAGACCCAGCCTGGCTCCTGAGGTGCAAGGGAAGGTCCGCATGGCTGCATGGCCGCCTGGCCTGCTTGTCCCCGGAGGCCGAAGAGGTCACTGCTTTCTCCCTCTCTGCAAATTACTGTAAAAATAACTTCTTCGGTGGGCGGGAGGGAAGTGACCAAACTCACACTTTCAGCCTGATGGCATGACAGCAGCATCATCCTAAAAATAGGGTGCGTCCTCTGTTTCTCCCAAACGAAATGTTTGCTACCGCCAAGCTAGGCTGGAAGTACAGCGACCGAGTCTGAATTCCCCCAGACACTGGGAGACTGTGCTTGGCAGGCCTCAGGCTCCCACTCCTCAGAGAGAAGCGTTCACATGATGCCACAGCAGCCAGAGGCACAGAACGATGCCAGAAAAGATGCCGAGGGGCCGGAGTGTAGAAAGAAACCTGCCGAGTCTGTTCACACTCCGGCTCCCAGGCAGGTTCAACTTGGAAACCTTTCCCCTAAAGGAAAAGCAGGTTAGAAAACAGAGCTAAACACCAGGGCTTTCACCCCAGCACCAAGTGCCCAAAGGGCTGGACAGAGTCCCCTGCAGTCTCGCTACTGTTTCTGTGTGTTCTGGGAGGCTGGCCTTCCTCTGGGCCTCAGAGTCCCTATCTGCACAGCAGGGAGGACAGCCGTCTATCCTCTTCCTGGCACCGCGGGTCCCTAGGACAAAGGTTTCTGAATTAAGGGAATGATGAAGCCAAACAAGACAAGTCGTTAGGAGAGAGCATGAGCGATGAGAACAGAGGTTCTTAAACCCTCGAGAGTGGGTGCAGCTTTGTCAGAGCCAACTTCACATCAGAGAATAGTCAAAATGCCTGACTTAGCCAGCATGAAAAGAAACCACATCAGTCAAATGCAAATGCATGGGCACAACTACAAACAAAAACGACATAACTTGAAAAGGATATAACTGGCCAATGAGCCCACAGCATGTCCTTCCCAAGCCCAAGTCCCTGGGTCAACCCAGTCTCCAAAGGTGGAGGGTATGCCCAGTCTTCCCCCTCACCTGTGTAGAAGCTGGAATTGTTATTGTTAGTTTCTTGCTCGAAGATGCTCTTGGTCTGAGAGTCGAATCGGAGCCATAGTCCAATGGCAAGGACTGCAATCCCCGCAAGCTGCAAGACACACAGGACATCAGCATTAATCCTGGCTGCCAGGGACAGACAACTCAGTCCCCGAGAATTGAAGGGTGTGACTGAAGACTTGCAAAGGGCTCTGGGACCACCCTCGGTCTCTGCCCCTCACACACACCTGGCAGTCGCAGAAGCCAGTGGGAATGTGTGTGATCAACCCATGTGCTAAAAATATCAGCAAGCTGGGAATAAACGCTGCCTACCAGCAGCACAGCAGTCGCAGGGGTACTTTCACAGGCAAGGGAATACTACACGGCAGGGAAATGGATGTCTATAGCCACATGCAATAATACCACGAATGCATCTCATGATGCTAAACAAAAACAGCACGAAACACAAGAACATGAACAAAATGATTCCATACAGTTAAAAATTACTAAACTGTTTAGGGATGCATACAGAGGATATGCTTATATGTGCCTATAAATAATAAAAGAATAAAAAGTGATTGTCCTCAAGTGAGTGATGACCTTGAGGTGGAGGGAAGGATTTATGCTCAGGGAGGGGCACGTGGTGGGGGTGTCTATGGTGCTGGCAATATTCTAACTTTTAACTTGGGTGATGGCTACACAGACACACATGCACCAGGGAGGGCAGCTGCAGAGACCCTCTGCACGGTAAATGACATCAGGGGCTCGCCTCGCTTGCCCACGCTGGCCCCTAACCTCTTTACAAGGCCCAGTCCTGGCCTGGCAATGCTGAACTAGATGCTGGGCAGAAGGCCTCCTCCCCCAGCCTGGCGCCAGCTGAGCACCCTGTCGCTCGTACCGGGCTTGCTGGGGCAGTGACTCACAGGCCTCCAGCGTCATGGCCGGCTGGACGCAGGAGTGGGTGGGCCCCAGGTTTTGCTGGTCCACCCCCCTCAACAGAGGCACTCTAATGTCCGGGCCCTGCTTGCTCTGGACCTTGATTCTCGTCTCCAGAAGCCAGTGAAGGCTGCCTCTCTTTCCTTTCCCCCTGGCCTGACATGGGTTGTGGATGTGTTGGGTGCAGATGGCAACAGCAGGAGGCGCCACCGCAGACCTCAGCCTGCGCCACCTGCCCACAGCCCGAGCGGAGCAGGTGATCTGCTCCTGCACGTGTGTTTCCGTGGGGGCTGCCACTCTCGGCTTAGAGTTCTACTGCTACAGTTGCCATCCGTACACCAGGAATGGTGGGATGTGGCCCTTCCTCGCCTTCGGTACGGCTAACGAACATAGGAGATCATGTTAGAAGTACTTCTGAAGAAGGAGGTGTCAAATGGGATTTGGGAGAATAAGTTCACTTCATCAGCACAAAGGCCCACCAGCACGGCCCTGCTGGCCCTGCGGACAGTCACTCAGCGTCCTCCCCAACCTCTCAGTCCTCACCGTAGGAAAGGTGACCCCAAACAGCTATAACTGCACAACGCCAAATGCCCCATGGCCGGACAATGGAGAAGAGAAAAACTCATGAAGTTGTAGGAATTTTAGAGTTAAAATGAACCTGAGAGCTTTGACTGAGTGCAAACATGGGTGAGATTTTCCTTCTTATTAATAAAAGACATGCGGGTGAGTGAGGGCGTGCTGGCCTAATCCAAAGGTGGCAGAGCATCGCTTCGTGGGGGAGAGCAAGCCTCCCCGACCACGGGAGCAGCCCAGGCAGCTCGCCAGGGGTGGGCCCAGCTGGCAGCATTTCGGCTGGAACAGGTGTGTGGACGGTGTACACTCAGGGGTCTTGACTCTGCGGGTGGCAGGCCCAGGCCTAGGTCCCCAGGGCCCTGGAGAGCTAAAGGAACAAAGTAATACTTCCCCTCTGTCCACCTGCACACGGGAGGCCCCATGAGGCCCCTAGGAATTGGAAGCCAGGGGCTGTGTGTCCTTCTTTCAGTCATAAACACATTAACCTCAAAACTGCTGGTGGGAGCCCAGTTTCGGTCACCACTTAGGCACAACCTGTTTCTTGGCCTGGTCCTCCCCCTTGTCCTGGTCTGGTCCTGGGTCAGGAGAGCAGAGGTGCTCATTGCTGTCCTTTTTGCTCTAGGCTTGTGCTTATCTAGGAGTTATCCCCAAGTCACCTTATCACCTGATGACTAAGTTACCTGGCTGTCACCGCTTATCTGCCAGGAAAACCCAGCAAGTCACCACGGAGAGAAGGCAGACACTCCAGGCCCACAGAGTAACTCCTCTCCAAAAGACTATGTGGAGCCGCATTCCGCACAGAAGCTTCTCGCAGGCAGGAGCCAGGTCCCTTTGGGAATGATTCACGTTTGGATAATGATGGGCACCCAGGTGAACCCTCCAGTGGTAAGGCCCCTTCCGTTTTATAGTAAACCTTAATTTCAAGGACCCAGAGCCAATTTGTAGAAGTCCCGTCCTTTATCTGGTCTATGTGGACGGGTGGTCAGAGGGACACTGGGCTGGAGAATTGCAACCAGAAAGGAAAGGGAGAATTTCAGGTCTGAACTTGGCCAAGGACATGGCCAGATACTGGAGTCGGAAGTCCTATGTGTTTGGATCCCACCCCAAATCTAACATCGTGCTCACTGGTTGTCAAAGCCACGACACCTTGCTACAATGAGGAAGGAAAAACAGCTGGCTCTGGAAAATTCTGTAATAAGTTTCAGTCTCTAATGCCCCAAAACTCATTGTGTGAGAAGAGGAAGGGGCCGAGTGTGGCGGCTGACATCTGTAATCCCAGTACCTTGGGAGATCACTTAAGGTCAGGATTTTTAGAGCAGCCCGGGCAACATAGCAAAACCAGAACTGTACAAAAAGAAAACAAAATTAGCCAGGTGTGGTGGTGCACAACTGTAATCCTAGCTACTCGGGAGGCTGAGGCAGGATCACCTGAGCCTAGGAGTTCAAGGTTGCAGTGAGCTATGATAACGCCACTATACTCCAGCCTGGGTGACAGAGTGAGACCCTGTCTCAAAAAAAAAAAAAAAAAAAAAAGGATCAAGAAACCCATAAGGAGGGGAGGGCTAGAGCCAGGACTGGAAACACTTGGTTTACAAAAATCACAGAGAAGTGAACCATGCTGTCTTTTTCAATCAAATTACTGAGTTGACTGGCCAGAGGGGATGCAATGTAGGCCATTAATGGCCCTATTTTCTGTAATGCTATTGGAGAAATCGCTCCAGTTGGCTGAGTCACAACAGCTTGGGGTCACAGGGTCACAAAACTATACAACCAGTGCCTGCCTGGTTGTTCAGGCAGCACTATCTAAGGAGCTACAAAGTGCTTCCTGGGAGAATTCACTCTCTGGTGTGGCACGGAGGGGCACCCCCGCCCCACCTGGCTCTCCCCCAAGCTACATTAGTAACAAGAGAAACTAAATGGGAAGGGACCAGCAGCAAGAACCAAAAACAACTCTAGCCTTTAAAACAAAGTACCAAGTGGATTATCAGGGGACTCCATAAAATAAGGATATGGGGTCTGGGAGGCCACAGAGCTGATGGCGTCCCCCCAGGTTAATTGAGTGACATGTGGCAGGCATGCTGGCCACAGTCTCATGGGCTGCTGTCTCAGTCTGGCCCTGCAGTGCAGGGGCCGAGCAGGTTTGATGCGGATGCCCATTGCACAATACCTGCTCTCATCCTGCCGGGCCTAACCGGTCTGGGGGGGTGGCGAGGGGAGATGGGGAGGAGAAGCCCAGAGCCTCTACTCCCAGCCTGAGGCCCTGCACAGTTTGCCTAGTTTCCTCTTTTGTCTCCAACAAAAGCCAAATGGAAACATTCTAGTTTTGCTGGGAAAAGCTCCTTTGCCATCTGGCCAAAAATGGCGCTCTTTGACGGTGCAGCAAGCAAAATAGAGTTTTGCCTATTGTTCTGTCAGAAATTTCTTCATTTCTTTGCTGGTGTCACTTAGAAGATGACGGGCCATGAGAAAAACATGAGACAAACCTAAACTGAGGACAGTCTACAAAACACTTGACCAGTACTTCTCAAAACTGTCATGGAAAACAAGGAAAGACAGAAACTGCCACAGACCAGAGGAGATCAAGGAGACATGACAACTGTCACGTGGTGTGCTGGAAGGGATCCCAGAACAGAAAGGGGACATTAGTGGGAAAACTAGTGCAATCCAAGTCAGTCTGGAGTTGGGCTAGCGGAGCGTGGCAGTGTTGGTTTCCTGGAGTGACAAATGCAACATGGTAGCACAAAATTTGTTAACGGGGAAGCTGGAGAGCAAGACAGAGAAGCCCTAAACTATCTTTGCAACTTTTCTGCAGGTCTAAACCTAAGCGTGTATAAAGACAACAGAGTAGCGGGGGCAGGGGGGCCTCTCTCCATTGACCTCTTTCCTGTCTCTGCCACCTGTCTGCTCTTTGCCAACAACACACGAGCAGGTTTTTCTCTCCTACAAAGCCCAACAGAACAAAACCAGAAACAAACCCCTCTCTCTTGTCAACCTCATAGCGCCTTCAAGTGGCTCTGCACTTTCTCTTAACCACCTCTGCGTCCTCATGCCCCAGCCACTGCGCAGCTCTCCCGCCCGGCGCTGCCTTCCCGCAGGAACGCAGACGCCGTCTCCCAAGGCTTCTGCTCAGTCTTCACGGTCTTTGGATCTCGCAGCAGCTGGCGCCACATGGAACCCTGCCTCCTCCTCGTCCGCTCCTTAGACTCTCTCGGTTTCCCAAACAAGCCTCATGCACGCCGCCTGTTCCAGCAAGGTCCCTGCCCGCAGATGCTGTCTGGCCACCTAGGCCTGCTGCTGCCCCACCCGGATTTCCCACCGCCCCTGCACCTGCCTTCCTTTCCAGCGTCCTCACACTCTGCCCTCCCTCTAGTGGGGCTTGTGTCACATCTCGCCAGGGCAAACGCTCCTTGTGGTCAGGGCGACTTCTGAGTCATTCTTGTATCTCCCCTGCCCCATCCACACTCTGGACAGAGCAGTCGGCAGTAAATAACTTTTCAATGAAGGAACGACTGCTTCAATGAAAGAGAATCCCTAAAGGCCCCTGGACTCCCTGACTCCCTCTCCTGGGCCTCACCCTGCGGACTAGCCTCCTTTCCTGCCGGC